TGGATACCTTCGAGACCGCCTCCTGCCGCAGATTACCCCCCATCGACCTGTACGCTCCCACAGAGTGGGTCTCCTCAGGGTGCCGTCGGCCAGACAGTGCCGGCTGGCGACCCCAAGGGGGAGGGCCTTCTCTGTGGGAGCTCCCACCCTCTGGAATGAACTACCCCCAGAGATCAGGGTGATCCCTGATCTCCCTTCCGCCGCGCCCTTAAGACATGGTTATTCCAGCTTGCGGGACTGGCCTAGGGGAAACTTTTAGAGGGGGTTTTAATTATAATTTTAATTAGACCAATTATTAATATTTCCCTTTTAACTAACTTTTTAAATTTGTAGTTTGATATTTTTGTATTTTTATCCGGTTGTTAGCCGCCCTGAGTCCGCAAGGAGAAGGGCGGGATATAAATCTAAAAAATAAATAAATAATAAATAAAATAAATAAATAAAGATTGCAACGCTTCTGAAATTAAGGACTGGGTGGTATATAAAATGTCTGTACAGAAAGAGGCTTTTTTTGCATCTAATTCTATTCCTTTTGCTTTTCTGGTGTGTGAGGGGGAAGTTGGCGATACTGAATGAAGGTTACTTAGAGATATTGCTGTTGGGTGGGGAGAAATGGGTGACCTTACCTTAGTCTCCAGTCTTTGTGCTGTCCCATACTTTCTAGCAGGATGAGTACTTCCAAAAATTGTGGTTGATTCTGGCAGCTTCTTAGACTAATCCTTCATCATCAGTAATTTTATCTTCAGTATTTTTAGTAAAAAAATAGAGAAATGCCCTTGAAATTCTTCAGCAAAAATTAGCAAGGAAAAAGAGGAGAAAATGGTTAAACATAGTAATTTATTTGGGTATGTCTATTCATTGTAATGGAATTGCCGAGGAATATTAATAACTCTTTCCATGTGATTAAAGGCAAATGGGGTCATGCAACACACACGCACACACATTAATCCTTAGTGATTAGATTTGGGGTCACAGGCAAAGTATGTGTATTGTCCAGCAGTAAACCGCTTTGTTTAATTACATTTGCTTTTTGCATTGTTTTTATTCTTTATTTTTTGTACTGTAAAGGCTGCAATGCTTTTCTGGTACATTTGACTGACCTTTTTGCTTTTGAATATGGATGATATGCCTTGGGTTAAGTGGATGATGCTTTTTATAAGGAAGATAGGAAGGATGAATATTACATAACTTTATTGTATGATATTGTTACAAATTGAGTCTCATGACTAGTTATACTGTATAAATGTATGTAATAAATAATTGAAAACTTCTAAAATTTCAATAAAGAAGTTAACTCCCTGAGTTCAACAAGATTTGCATTCTACAAACCACAGTGTGCTTTAATAATAATGTAGGTTCAGCTAGGAGTCACCACCATAATTAAAGCACTTGCTGGCTAGGGATTGTATGGAGTTCCTCTGTAAGAAATAACACCTCTAGAAAGTTTTGATCTTGGACTGCAGCCTTCCTGTACAGATCCCAAAGTGCAGAACAGAGGAATTTGGCACATTTGGAGCCCCCTAAAGAGGATTGTTGTAGATACTGAATGCAGCCATGGAAACACTCAGTTTCTGATGAAACCTGTCTCTCTCTAGGTATAGTTGCTATTCTTACTCCTCGAAGCTTTCCTTTGCTGACGCTGACGTGGAAGTTGTGCTCAGCCCTGGCCATGGGTATGTAAAAATGGTTCCAACTGAGTGAGTCCAAGTGAGATCCACCCAGACGCAGAAGTCACTGAGTTGATCTGTTTACTTTATCTCATGAGGTTAATCTGAGAGTAAAATTATGCAGACAAAGAGAAACTTGAGCCCTGTCATTGGTTCTTCAGCAGAAAGTTGGGTTAGCAGTGTAGTTAAAATATATCTGTTTTTATTATTTTTATTAAGAAAATTTATATGGCCACCCAACTCCCTCACGGTGGGTTACAGAAGTACAATCCCAAATACAAAACCCAATGAACTCTTCCCCCCCCCCCCGCCCCATGACAACAGTCAAACAAACCACTGGATGGGCTTTGTATTGCCTTGGGGACTCCAGGCCCACTGCAAAACCATGTCTTCAGGGCCTTTTAAAAGGGTCTCAAGGTGAGGGCCAATCTTATCTCCACAGGGATGATGTTCCACAGGGAGGGAGCCACCACGGAGAAGGCCCTTCTTCTTGGTCCCACTAGATCAGGGGTCTGCAACCTTAAACACTCAAAGAGGCATTTGGACCCATTTCCCAGAGAAAAGAAAACACTGGGAGCCGCAAAACTTGCGCGTGCACACAAGGGGTGGGGAGCTTGATTGAAGAGTTTAATTAAAAAGAAATAGAGGCTGCTGTGCATGAGTTCTTGTTCTCTCTCTCTTTCTCTCTTTCTCTTTCTCTCTTTCATCTCTCTCTTTCTCTTTCCTCTCTCTCCCTCTCTCTTTCCTCTCCCTCTCTCTCCCTCTCTCTTTCTCTCTTTCCTCTCCCCCCTCTCTCTTTCTCTCTCTCTCTTTCCTCTCCCCCTCTCTCTCCCTCTCTCTCTTTCTCTCCCTCTCTTTCTCTCCCCCCCCCTCTCTGTCTCTCTCTCTCTCTCTCTGCAAATGGCGGAGGAGGCTGGGAGCTGCAGGAGAAGGCTCAAAGAGCCACATGTGGCTCCGGAGCTGCGGGTTGCCGACCCGTGCACTAGATGGACCTCCTTAAGAAAGGGGACCTGTAACATATCTTGCCTCCCTGCTGTGCTTTTCAAGGAAATACTGTATATGTTGTGTAGATCAGGGGTCTCCAACCGCGGGCCGCGACATGCCAGCAACTGGTCCGCACAAACAAGCAAAACCCCATCCTTGGAATGCAGGGAGCACATAAAATCGCGCCTCCTCCGGTCCGCGGAAAAACCTCTCTCCACGGAACCGGTCCCTGGTACCCAGAGGTTGGGGACCTCTGGTGTAGATATAAAAACTCACAAAATCTAATTTTTTATTTGTTATTTTATTTGTTATTCATCTGTCCCCGGCTTATCATACCTGATATATATGGCTAATACCAGCTAGGTGAGCTAGGTGTCACCTTGATAAGAATGCTCTTCATGGGATATTAAGAGCCAAGGACCTTTCTTCCATCTTCCCTTTCAGTTCATTGGCCACCTACCCAAGACTGAACTTTGAGATGGAAAAAAAGGAGTCTGACTCCATGTTTTGCCTGCCTCAATTGTCTTTTTCAAATTGTCCTTATTTACAAATACTTTCTTGTCTTGATTCTGCTGACCCAGTACCAGATATAATCACAAGCTGAACAAGCTACAGCTTCAATTTTTTGTGAAAACCCAAAGTCCTTTTTTGTGAGACCTTCTGGTGTAATATTTTAAGAAGAAGCCTAGATAGCTTAGGGCCTTACCAAGTCTAAATCTGGCACCTCACAATTTCTGTCTTCTGTCATGAAAAAAATGGAACTCGTTGACTCCCCCTTTGTCTTCTTCAGCTTTTCCCCTCCTAACGTCCTTCAGTTTTCCCAAGTGACTGGGAATACAGTCAGTCCTCAACTTATGACCACAGTTGAGCTCAAAATTTATCTTGCTAAGTGAGACATTTGCTAAGTGAGTTTTGCCCCATTTTACTACCTTTCTTGCCACAGTTGATAAGTGAATCATAGTACTTCTTAAGTTAGTAACATGGTTACTAAGTGAATCTGGTTTTCAGAAGGACTCAAAAGGGGTCACATGACTCTGAGACACTGCGACCATCATAAATGTGAGTGGGTTGCCAATTTTGATGATATGACCATGGGGATGCTGCAACAGCCGTAAGTGTGAAAACTGGTCATAAGTCATTTCTTACAGTGATGTTGTAACATTGAACGGTCACCAAATGAACTGTTGTAAGTCAAGGCCTTCCTGTGATAGGAGTTGCAGTCCAACATATTTGGAGGCCACTGCATATTAGATAGGGGAGAAGAATATAGGGAATATATATTTCTCTAGCTTTTTTTTACCTGCTTTTTCTCTTCTTTTCCATCCCTAACTCTCTACTGCGTGCTTTGCCAACAGGAAACACGGCGATCTTAAAGCCAGCCAGCAATACCGGGTTGGCTGCCTTGTTCTTGGCCGAGGCCTGTGCCCAAGCTGGGCTCCCCCCAGGAGTCTTCAATGTCATCACTGGCAATCAGGGGCTGGGAGAAGCCTTGGCACTCAACCCAGGCATTGACAAAGTGGCCTTTGCTGGAACTGCCAAGGTAAAGCCCATCTGTCTCCATTCAGGCACTTAAGAAGAGGCTCAGAAGGGAAAATCAGGTTTTTTTGCCAGTCTTGAGGGTAACATATTTAGTATATAGGTTAAGCCCAAAGGTGCTTTTTCAGGAGGCAACTGGACTTTCTTGTTTTTTCTTTGAAGACGTTTCACTTCTCATCCAAGAAGCTTCTTCAGCTCTGACCGGATGGTGGGCAATGGAAGGATTTATATTCCTTGCAGACAGCTGGTCATTTGCCTTCCTTTGGAGAGTTGTTGAGGCCACTTGGAGCTTTGTTTGTTCGTCCTTAGGGTCACCTCAGTAGTGCAAGTGGGTGTGGAGCCTTCTTGGGACACTTATTTATAATGGTGGTTTTCTCCAATTTGGATGGCCTCCAATTATATATGGGCTTCAACTCCCTAAATTTTCAGTAGTGAGGTGGCTATGTTGGCTAGAGTAATCTGGGACTTGAAGTTCATTTACCAGAAAATGCTCAGGTTAAGGAAGAATGAGCAACAAGATAAACAAAAGGTTTTGTATAGATGCATTTTTCACTGTATAAGGCTAAGCCGTCTTTGCTTTCCTGATTTCCTGTATTTCTGTTAAGTTCACAAAAGAAGAAATGAGGGAATTCGCCCACTGGATTTTGTGCAACGATGATGCTACTATCATTGCTAAAGAACAGTCCCGCCCTTGGGAAATTGTCGGTCCAATTAAATTCAAAGAGATCTTCCAACCAATCCCTCTGCTGCCAAATTTTAAGGGAAATTTTCAAAAGCCCCTTTTGTTTCCTCAGTTTACCTAATGGGAAGTTCAGCAATCTGTTTCTGTGTGTCCAGCAGTGGTAGAATGGACTTCCTGTCCTGAAGCTTCATATTAGATCAGGGGTCTTCAAACTTGGCAACTTTAAGACTTGTGGACTTCAACTCCCAGAATTCCTCAGTCAGCCCCGAGGAATTCTGGGAGTTGAAGTCCACAAGTCTTAAAGTTGCCAAGTTTGAAGACCCCTGTACTAGATGGTCTGCCGCTCCCAGGCTTCCAGTTAGTTCATTGGAATTATGGGAGCTGTAGTCCAACACAACTGGAAGATGTCCAGTTGGAGATGGTCACAGTAACGAACGTGCACTCTTAAGTTTTAGATCTGCTTTCTGAGGGATCACTTAGCTGTGTTTCACATTAGGAAGCAAGAGCTTCAAACATCTTTGCTTCTTCCCTCAATAAAAACAGGTAGTCCTCAACTTACAACAGTTCATTTAATGACCGAAGTTACAACAGCATTGGGAAAAGTGACTTACGACCGTTTTTCACACTTATGACCCTTGCGGCATCCCCATGCTCAGTGATCAAAATTCAAATGCTTGGCAACTGACTCATGTTTATGACGGCTGCAACGTCCTGGGTCATGTCATCACCTTTTCTGACCTTCTGACAAGCAAAATCAATGGGGAAGCCAGATTCACTTAATAATCATGTTAAGGAGCCGAGGTGACAGAGTAGTTAGAATGCAGTACCGCAGCTACTTCTGCTGGCTGCCAGCTGTTCGGCAGTTCGAGTCTCACCAGCTCAGGATTGACTCAGCCTTCCATCCTTCCGAGGTCAGTAAAATGAGGACCCAGATTGTTGGGGGCAATAGGCTGACTCTGTAAACCGCTTAGAGGGGGCTGTAAAGGGCTGTGAAGGACTGTGAAGCAGTATAGAAGGCTAAGTGCTGTTGCTATTGCTACTAATTTAACATCTGCAGTGATACACTTAACAAATGTGGCAAGAAAGGTCGTTAAATGGGGCAAAACTCACTTAACAAATGTCTCACTTAGCAACAGAAATTTTGGGCTCGATTGTGGTCATACGTCAAGGACTACCTGTACCTACTTCACTACAGTTTTCTTGTGTTTTCCCATCATCCACTGCATTTCATGTTCTTTTGACTATAGTGCAAGACCTTCCGTCTCCTACTTACTCCAAGATCAGTGACATGTCTATTCTCCCTTGTTCCAACTAGCACAAGAATTTGATATGGGGAATGGGACTTTGGGCTGGTCAGTGTTGTGGCTCTGTCCTGTGGGTCCCTATCATCGGAGGAGGAAGGCTCTGAACATGAAGGAGAGGAGATGGCCAGGCCTCCCTCTCCAGGACCTTCCCCTCTGGTGCGGCCTTCGGTGTCTTCCGACGGAGAGGAGATTGGCCAGGAGCCAGGTGCTTCTGGGATTGGCCAGGAGCCAGGTGCTTCTGGGATTGGCCAGGAGCCAGGTGCTTCTGGGATTGGCCAGGAGCCAGGTGTATCGGACTCTGGGGAGGATACGTCTTGGCTGGATCCACGCCAGCGTCGGAGGGACAAACGTGCGCAGCAGCTAAAACGCTGTGCCAGAGATTTCAGCTGAGTCACTGGGCCACACCCCACAGGCTATATAAGCAAGGGGTGTGCCGTTTGAAACTCTTGTGACGAACAAAACTGAATCTTCTGTTGCAGCACTCCGGAATTATCCTGGACTTGATTTGTATTTTGTACTGTGAGTTATCAGTAAAGGTCTTGGCAGGCAGCCACGGAGTTGCTGCCAAGTGTTTATCTGTATTTGGCAGTGCTGAGCAGTCTTTTAGCCCTCAGCTGACTGGTTGGGGTGTGTGAGTCGGACGGGGGACAGAACAGGTCAGTGGCCATTTTGAATACGATTCGGTGGTGTGATGGGGAATGTGTCGTTGGTACAGGTGGGCTGTTGTCTGCGTCGAGCCACAGATGGCAGTGGCAAGAAGCTTTGTCTCCAACTTGGGGGGAAGTTGCCCTTCAATGTCTTTGACTCAGCTGACTTGGATAGTGCTGTTGACGCAGTGGTGGATGCCATCTGGTTGAACCGAGGACAGGTATGCTTTTACCAAAGATAGTATCGGATGAAGAAGAGACTTGGGGAATGGTTGTTTCTTAACATTTCCCTCTTTTTCAGGCTGCTGGTTGCTCATCCAACCACTACAAAAGAGGGAAATATTAAAAAAACTCCATTCTTCGTATTTCTTCTTTGGCAGAGTATGAAATTTTTAACTTTATGATATAGTAAATCTTTGTCCAGAATTTTCTGAAAATTTTGGCACACACATATAAAACTTGGGATGTGCACATCAGCTGCCCCATTCAGTTGCACCTATTTAGCCAATTACAGTTGTGTTTATTTTTTTGTGCTCACACTGTTTAAGACGTTTATTTAATGTTACATTAATTAGTCCCTAAAAATAGATAGGGACTAGACATATAATTAAAAGATCAAGCAAGAACACAACAATTTTAAAAATAAATTAATGACTCCTACTGTTAAAACTTCAACATTTTTCCAGTTAGCGGAAATAGAACAAAGAAAGGGCAGAGATACTTGAAAAGGATCTCTCTGGCATTAACTCCAAGCTTGTCTGCAAAGATAGCAAGACATTAAAGTCTGATCAATCTCAAATAGTTGGAAATAGTCTGCTTCCCAGGCATACGGGGCATTCCCAGGCATTTCTGACACCATTCCACCCTTGTAGGTCATACCTAACTCTTGGAATGGTGTCAGAAATAGACAATAATACAAGAATTCTGCATTGACCAAGTCGGGGTTTGCTTAGCTATAGTTTATGGAATAAACTGCAGTGTTCATCCAATACAACACACCAAAGCTAAACAAATTCCAAACATTTCCAAAATGGGCAAAGAATCAATGTGGGAATCATGTTATTTTTGTAATTGTTTATCCACACATTCTAAGTTTAAACATTTTTTAATGAATCAGGCAGTGAGTTTTATTCTTACTCTGGCAGAATCTTGGCTGCAAAATCCTGCAGCCAAGGATTGAATTAATTAACCCTGTGGGTGGCTTTTCCTTCCCCTTCTCAGGTCCACAGTGCTGGGGCTCAGCTGTTCCTTCAGGAATCCATTGCCAAAGACTTTATTCAACGCCTGAAGCACCAAATGGGGCAGCTTCACTTAGGAGACTCTCTGGACAAAATCACAGACGTGGGACCGTTGGCCAGCGAGAAACAGCAAAATTTTATTGAGAGCCTGGTGGAAGAAGCTCGGGCTGAGGGGGCTGAGGTAAATGGGAAGAAGTCATGCCAGACAGTTCAGTCTTATGGCCAACCCCTGCCCCCGCACAATTGATTTTTACATTTTTAATATTTAATCATTAAAATTATTGATTATTTAAATTATTAAAATTACTTAATTCACATTTTTTAATATTGCAGTTGTATAGCATTAAACTTGGCTTCAGGAAAATCAGCTTTTTATGTGTAATAAAAATATCTTTAGGGAATAAATTTATTAATGTGTATTTGATGGAAAAGTCATCTCACACATAGTTCAACCCTGAACTAGAAGCATAGTACAGAAAGGGACCATATAGGTATTGAACCCAACCCCCTGCTCTGTATAGGAATCCAGATTAGGAATTCTGTGACCGATGACTGTCAACATAATTCAAAAGTAATTATTGTTTTTTAGGTTTTCCAGGCCTGGGCATCCCTCCCATCAAGTCGATTGTTTTACCCTCCAACCTTAATCACCGGCGTGTATCCGACCTCCCGTTGTGTCCGGGAAGAGGTAGGAGGAGATGAGAAAGCATTTCTGATATCTGATTTAATCACTAGAAATTAATGCTGGTAATAAATGGAATAAGAGAGCCAGTTGGGTCCAATAGTTAAGGCTCTAGGCCAGAAACCGGGAGACTGTGAGTTCTAATCCTGCTTTGGGCATGAAAGCCAGCTGGGTGACTTTGGGCCAGTCACTTTCTCTTAGCCCAGTCCACCTCACAGGGTTGTTCTTGTGATAAAAATAATAAAAGTGAGATAGATAGACAGACAGACAGACAGACAGACAGACAGACAGATTTTGTTGTTTGTCCATCGATTTCGATGAAGACCTTGACATCTTATGGATTATGGGCCATCAGCGGTGTGTCCGTAGATGACTGATGAGACCGATGTTAGCACGGAATGTTCTGCCACATACTGAACAGAGAAATGTGGACACTATTGCTTCAGCATTTGCAGCTCTGGCTTTATGGAGTGCTCGCTTCTCTTGTGCCAAGATTGTCCTTCTGTGTTCATATGTCTGGCAACCCTGGTAAACCAGGGTATGCCATGTCGTTCGATCATGCGCCAGAGATTCCCAAGAGATGGTATCGATATCCAGGGACTTGAGAGATGCTTTCAGCGTGTCTTTGTATCGCTTCTTTTGTCCCCCGTGCGATCGCTTTCCTTGAGACAGCTCACCATAGAAGAGCTGTTTAGGGATGCGATGGTCTGGCATCCTTACAACGTGGCCTGCCCAGCACATCTGGGCTTTCATCAACAGAGTGTAAACTGATGATAGGCCTGCTCNGCTTAGTAGCAAGGCTTATTCCACGGCGGTCCCACACGTTAGTCCGCAGTCTGCCAAATGCAGAACTTGCCTTGGCAATTCTACAGTTGACCTCGATGTCAATTGTCACTGCACGGGAGAGGGTACTACCAAGATACGTAAATTGGTCCACTGCTTGCAGCTTTTGTCCCTTCACTGTGATGGTAGGCTCTTGGTATTGAGCTTTTGGAACTGGCTGGTACATCACTTCAGTTTTCTTCGTGTTGATAAAGAGGCCAAAGTTGTCACAAGCGACTGCAAATTTGTCCATGCTGGCTTGCATTTCCTGCTCCGATCCTGCATTAAGGGCACAGTCATGAGCAAAGAGAAGATCTCGTAGCACAGTCTCCTTTACCTTGGTGACAGCCTGGAGTCTTCGCAGGTTGAACAATTTCCCATCGGTTCTGTACCTCAGATTGACTCCCACTGAGCTGTTCTGAAAGGCGTCAGACAGCATGGCTGAAAACATCATGCTCAACAAGGTTGGTGCCAGTACGCAGCCTTGCTTAACACCGTTTGTGACAGGGAAAGCCTCTGAGGCTTCACCATTGCTCAGAACACGAGCCACCATGCCATCATGGAACTGCCGTACCATCAGAATAAATCTGTCAGGGCACCCAAACGTCGACATAATGCGCCATAATCCTTCACGACTAACTGTGTCAAAAGCCTTGGTGAGATCCACAAAGGTGGTATATAGTTCACGATTCTGCTCCTGACATTTTTCCTGGAGCTGACAAGCTGCAAAGATCATGTCCACCGTGCCACGCTCTTTGCGGAAACCACACTGTGTCTCAGGTAGTAGACCTTGTTCCAGATGGTCAATCAGGCGATTTAGCAACACTCGTGCAAAGATCTTCCCTGCGACGGAGAGAAGTGATATTCCTCTATAATTATCGCAGACTTGTCGATTTCCTTTCCTCTTGTAGAGGTGCATGATGGACACGTCTTTCAGTTCCTGAGGGATGGAACCTTGTTTCCAGAAAGACCGGAACAGCTGGGTGAGTTTTTCAACAAGCACAGCACCACCAGCCTTATAGACTTCCGCTGGGATTGCATCAGATCCTGGCGCCTTACCACTGGAACACTGACTGATGGCCTGTGAGGTTTCAGCCTCTGATGGTGGGACATCCAGGC